AAAATATCATTTTCTATTGTAATAATTATAAAATTACTATTACTTTAATAAGTATAGAAATTCTATATTTAGTATAGAAGTACCATAAATGCAGTAGTATAAAATAATCTGCAGTTTGTATTCACATTATCTTTCTTCCTTTGGAGGTTATCATTTCAATAAGCACATACATTCAGAGAGTATAATCCTACTTCCCCTTTGAATATTCTCCATGATCCTTACCAAGAGTAGTGAGTCCTTCTGAGATAGATGTGAGAACATACAGGAGTACAGGAGGTTCTAAGTTGGTGATGAAGCTCATGTGGTCCTGGGTGAGGCATTCCAGAAGTGGATAATAAGACTGGCTCAGTTTCCGATATTGCTGTAAGACAGAGATATATTAAATGTCAAGTCACAAGAAAGAAAAGCAAAGTTTTATACTCAGTGGAAATGCCCATTTATAATACTGGGAATGGTAAACTTAGATAAACACAAGGCCAATAAATACACAGAGCAAATTACATAATCATTCCCCATTCAACATTTAAAGGAGTTTTAATAAGAATCTCTTGATCTAAGGGAGCACTGGTGGCCTAGTGGCAAGAAGTTGCACTGTAATCCCAGAGGTATGCGGTTCAAATCCACCAGATGCTCTGCTGGAGAAGGAGGGCAGTCTCCTCCTGTACCAGTCAGATCTCATTTGACGGTACACACAGACAAAATAATAAAATTTAAAAAAAAAAGAAAAGAAAGAAAAAAGAATCTCTTGATCTGAAGAAACTCTAATTTGAAGCTACAGTATATATGGTATTTCAATTTCATCTTATACAGATAACATTTAAATGCAAGTAAATCTCTGCTGAATGAAATCTAGAGACTCTGTATTATTTCTCTGTACTGGAATATAGTTAAAAGTGAGTAATATTTAGTAGTGGTTAGAAATTTTTTTTTTGCACCAAGAAATTTGTTGTTATCATGGGATTTGGCAATATATTCTGCTGTATCACCACAATGTCAACTCATCTAACTAAATAATTTGGTAAATAGCTTAATATTTAACATGTCCAAACAAGAAACAAAGAAGTATAACATTTATAAGATAGATAAACTAGAATTATATTTTATAAAGTGAGATCAAGACTAAGCAAGACCTTGAAATATACATTTTTAACATCCTCTTTATTGCTAAGTACAATTAAGTTGGAAGTGACTCATGGCTGACCCTTCAGCAGGTTTTTAGAGGCAGTAAATCACATCAGAGGAGACTGCCCATCTTTCTCCCATGGAGTAGCTGGTAGATTTGGCTTGTGTAATTAAGCACTGAAGAGCAACGGCATCAGGCTGGAGACTAAGGTGCGCCTGATCCAGGTTATAGTCTTTGCAATTATGTGCTATGCATCAGAGAGTTGGACAGTGAATAGGAATCATAGAAAGTGAATTGATGCTTTTGAGCTGTGGTGCTGGAGAAGTGTGTTGAATATACCATGGACTGCTAGGAGTACAAACAGGTCTGTCCTGGAGAGGGTGAAGCCAGAATGCTCCTTGGAGTCAAGGATTCTGCAGCTT